ATGACATACCAGTTAAGGTGTACTAATTTCTGCAAACACAACGTCATGTCTCTTGCTGTTTTAATGGAAGACGACATCTGTCTGGATGGGCAAATCTGGGCACTTTTCATCAATTTCTGCCACTAATTGGATTAAATGGTTATAGTGTTTGTCTGAATTCAATGTCTGATTTCGCGGAAGGAGCTTTTAATATACAACGCCCATTTAATCCAACTAGGTAAACTCCATTACCTCGTTTTTACCAGCACCTTTTTTGTTCCACGTTGTTTTCACTAGTCCATTTTTCATCGTTTTTTTCAAAAAATGTATCGTATTGTTGCGTTTGAGAAGAAAATCGTAGATGGAAGTACGGTCCATTAAATTGTGAAGCACACAAACATGGTAACTATTCACATATTCACATGTTTTCAAATACCTTACAATGCTTCAGAGGAGATGTGTGGGGTATTTCTGTGATGTACCGTGTCTTGTGACTCGGATTATTTTTAATCGATGTGATTCAAATTTCATTCAATTTGGTTATCATCAACTCGGATCTTCCACATCAAAATTTCCACTTATGAACCTCCTGAATCACTCACGAATAGCATTCTTAGCTATGGCACCATCCCAATAAATGGCACATATTTCTTTACTGTTTGGACAACTTTTTTTAAATAAAAGAGCATCAACTAATGAAAATTCCTCCCATTTTCTTCCATTTTCATTTTTAGCGCAAAATAATTTAAAATTCACAATCCACACAGGAATTTTAGAGGAAGACGTGTTGAAATCTCACCTTTTAGAATATGTATATATCATAAATTTCAGAGTGAAACGAAATCAGTTATTCAAACGGCACTTATTGAAATACGCTATGAACATTTGTTGCAACCCAATATAACAAACAATATAGGTTTCCCACGCCCTCTTTAGTTAAGCAAGCAGGTTTCTTTCATGTCACGATGCTCTTTAAACATATCGTAGAAGACGTGGGGAAAAACAACCTGTTTGTTTTTTATATCGTGGGAAATGAATTTGGTATGTGGCAAATATCTCATTCAAAAGGGCTTTATGTCAAATGATGCGTGATAAACTTTGAATGATGAAAAATACCATTAGTATCCTGTATTGTGGTTTCAACAGCCGAGATTCAATACTGATATTGGCTTATGGCAGTGATTCTCGACCGCCGTAATGCGGCACACATCACACAATCCTCTTAAGTATGACACGAAATATTGTCACGGCATATATATATATATATATATATATATATATATATATATATATATATATGTGTGTGTGTGTGTGTGTGTGTGTGTGTGTGTGTGTGTGTGTATAAGCTGTCCATAAATTTTGGGTGCACTTTAAAAAAATTTATAACTTTAATTGTATTTGCGATAGAAATAATCTGTAAAAAATGTTATAAAGTTTAATGTACCTAGTTTTAAGTATAGCTAAAATAACTAATGTCATTTCAGGGCATTACTCTAAATCAGTTGGCAAATGTTTTCCGTGAACTGCAAAATCATATTACCCTTTGTATTGCTAATGATGGAGGACATGTGGAAACTTAAATAAAATTTCAATAAAACCTTAAAAAATATAGATTTACTTCTTTCTAATCCTTTTTACAAATTATTTCTATCGCAAATACAAATAAAGTTACAATTTTTTAAAGTGCATACGAACTTTATGGACACACACTATATATATATATATATATATATATATATATATATATATATATAATATGGTCATCCACATAAAGGCCTGTTTCGCTGTATCACAGCTCATCAGTGTGACTTGACATCTGATTGCTTGAAGCCGGGATCGAAAGCCTAAATATTTGGCATCAGTCGGAGATCCTATATATATATATATATATATATATATATATATATATATATATTATATCCACAGACGGACTGTTTCGCTGTATCACAGCTCATCGGTGTGGCTAAACATCCGGTTTGTGTGTATTAGGCAGCTTTTTTCACTGATGCATGTTTCATTAAATAATATAGGCAAGTTTTGTTTGTTTATTTTAAGTAAATTCTTTTCATATCGTCTGAGAAGCTTAATAACATTATCATTAAATGACGAAAGAAAATCACCATATTGATACATATTTTTAATCCTATTTTTTAGTTTATCGTAGATGTCCTGTTAGTTGTTGTTAAGGGTGTTCAATATAAGGTATGATAAAAAATAAAAGATATGTTTAATATATTGTAATGTAAGTATCATCTTTGATAATGGCCTATGTAAGCCGAAAACTTAGATAGGATTAAAAAATATGTATGAATATTGTGATTTTCTTTCTTCGTTTAATGATAATGTTATTCAGCCTATTAGACGACATGAAAAGAATTTACGTAAAATAAAGAGACAAAACTTGTCTATATTATTTAACGAAACATAAATTAATATATATATATATATACGTGTATGTATGTGTGTGTAAATGTGTGTGTGTGTGTGTGTAAGTAGTAATGGTACATAGCATTTGAATAAATGATTAAATATTAAACTCTTTTTCATCTGTGGAATCTCCCACAACACAACCAGCCTTACCTCTTTGTAGGAAATGCACTCTTCCTATCTGGTAAGCCAAATTCTACTTTCATACAATATAACAAGTATTCATTGGTCAATCACCTCCAATCTGGCTTGCTGATTGGTCAGTTCCGACCAATCAAACCGCCTGCAACGCGACCAATCTTTTTCCCGCTCATATGCTCGGAGCCACTCAGCCATTATAAAAACTGAACACATGTGAACCTTTTGAGTAGTAGTTACCAAGTTTCAAGATGTAACCTTCACCGACTCCCGTCTTAGTCATTGCTGACCAGACGTTAAAGATAATTACCAACATTCATGAACTCTGAAATCAATCCTGAACTTTTACCAACTTTGCAAACTCACAATTCCAAAGTCTGTCTATATTTCTGAGATGAGGTATTATGTACAGTATTTACATTAGTCGGACTGTTGTGCTCATCTTTGTCGCCATAGTTGTCACAACGTTTCGGCCGTTGTACGCTCCGGCCTTCTATAACTGATAACTGACATCCATCAAACATGGCACGTGGAACTAGAACAGTCTACCCCAGTGATCGAAATAAAGGGTTCAGTTCGAAATTCCAACCACCTGAAGAAGGCCGGAGCGTACAACGGCCGAAACGTTGTGACAACTATAGCGACAAAGATGAGGACAACAGTTCGACTAATGTAAATACTGTTCACAATTCCAAACTTTATTCTTCTAAATTACAGTTTCAACATTACAGTAAAAGGTAAATTACTTCTTAATATGAACTCTGGTACAAATATTCCAAGTTAAAGGGACACGACTCTGTCCTACCTTTTCAGTTCACATTAATGTGATCAACATTAATAAATCTATTGTTACGTTATAAAACAATTCAGTTTTTATATTTTATTTTGCTGTTAGTGGAAATAGTTAATTGACACGCAACCTATTCTCAACAAATATTACCACATAATTAACCCATCCACTACACATCCGACATTAGCCAAAAAGGCCTTATCAGTTTTATTTTCTACTTCTTATTTATATGAATCTGGATTCTCGACCCTAAATGACATCAAAAATAAGAATCGAGAAAGACGTCATTCAACTGAAGAATAAATGGCGGTCTGTATCTCACTCATTCGACTAAACATTGAAGAAATCACGAAAAAAAAACAAAAAAAAAAAACACCAGGCACATGTTTCACACTAAATAAGCTGCACAAATAATTGAATAGAAACATTGTAATGACGTAAATTCATATTTGTGTGCGTATTTTGTTTTATTTATAAGTCGGGGTGTATTTTTAGTTCTTATTTTCTTTAAAACATCTTTCTTGCTCCTGTGTTCTGTCCATGGAGTTCTCAGCATCAATCTAATATGGTGGTTCTCAACCACTGTACTGTGGCATGTTACTGTGTTAAGCAATCTTGTCACGGCATACATAAAACCAAACATTGAAGAAATTGCAAAAAAAAAAAAAAAAAACACCAAGCACAGGTTTCACACTGAATAAGCTGCAGAAATACTTGAATAGAAACACTGAAATAAAACAAATTCATATTTGTGTGTGTGTGTATTTTTTTTTTTTAATCTATGGTTTTATTTTTTTTTAAAAAATTTATGGTTTTTTCCATTTAATTAAGATATATTAATCATCATCATTCCTTGAAAATGTCCTTTATCAGTTATCCTCTCAGGAGTTCTGGCATTTAAAATGTTGTTTTGCAGTCTTTGCCTGGTGATAAATGTTATGTGTGATATTTTAATGCTTTAGTTGCTAGAAAAAGATTCCTGTCAACTCACAAGACTTTTCACCTTGCTCCATATATAGTCATTAGTTTTATGTTCTGAGAAACAAACATTTTTTTTTTTTTTTTATCTATGGTTTTATTTCTAATTTAAATGAAAAATTTAGCTAAATGTACTGTGATATTTTTCTTTGTTCTTAGATGTGCCTTTTAAAAGGTTGAGAAACTTAATAGAACTGCATCTTTTTCTTAAAGTCTCTTTATCTGTAAAAATTATCCAATATTCAATGCTATACTGGTAGATAGATAAGACATTCAGCACTCTTTTATTTCTAACAAAACATTCCTTTGTCTTCACACTTTGCTTGGTTTCTGGAAAGCTTTTTTTTTTTTTTTTTTCTTCATGATTCCAATATGCCTTTGGATCTATTACTCTGTACATTGTACCTGCTTGATTCTAATGTTTTCAGTTCATAGATTACACCTCTGGCTTCCTCTTTTGCTGATGACTATACATTGTCTTACTTGTTAGTCCTTTCTTCTCAATTTACTTTACATTCTGTACAAGTTGTTTTTTTTTGGTTGTTTGTTTGTTGTTTTTTTTAATCTATGATTTTATTTCATAACATTCAAGTGTATACCCTTTAAAAATTTCGCTAACAGTGTTGTGATATTTTCATTTGCTCCTAGGTGTGCCATTGCTTAAAAAGGTTGAGAAACACTGTCTTAAGGCCATACCATGTAAAACCCGATTCTCATAAGATCACCGAAGTTAAGCAACATCGAGCCTGCTCTGTACCTAGATGAGTAACTACTTGGGAATACCAGGTACTATAAGTTTTGGATGTGCAGGTGGTGTAATGGATAACGGCTAGGAAATGGAAATCGTAGAGCCGAGTTCCAATTCCAGTTGGGTTTGTTATAGTCACTAATGTGCAAAATACTCTTGAGAAAGGCATGAATCCACCTCTCCTCGCTTCGGTTAGTAAGACTTATATCAGTGAATCATTATCATCGCCAAAAAATATCTTTCAATCTAAAACTATTTTCTGGCTTTAAACAACCTGCAACGAATTGATAAGTTTTATTTTTAAAAAATAAATAAAAACAAGCTGATGTCTTTCGTTAGGTCATCTTGCCATTCTACTAGATGCATCAAATCCTTCCTGGCAGAAAACGACTTTGGAATCTGATGTAATGGAATAACCAGTCATCCCCATGAATGATTACGCTATAGGTAGTAAGTACCTATAAAGTCAACTGTCTACGAGAGACTCGAGGAAGAGTGAGAGAGAGAAGACAAAAGCATGTCTGACCTTCCAATTAGAGGCACTTCACTACTAGATTGACTTGTGTGTATAACTGTACCGTATTTCATATTGTGCTGGTTGTGGACAATAAACCTTTCTTCTATTATTCACCTGGTGTTAAGTATTTATTCCCTTAGAATATAACAGAATCATTTTTTCCTGTCCAATCACAGGATATGAACCTGAGAACTAATAGGTAGAAAGTTTTCTAACAAATGTGGTTTGTAGAATACCATCTAAGAATACCATCTAAGAACAATCCAAGCAGGTTTTATTTCTAATGATGTTTGAAAAATTTAGAATGCTGAAAAATACCAAAGTATTATAGTTTGTGGTTTCTACAATCAAGACTCCGTGCCGCTGGGAATATTGTCCTTCCTCAGGGCAATGTACCATACCACTGCATTAAATTAACAAAAAAAATGACCAAAAGAAAACAAATTTGAATTGATGTTTTACATGGCCAATCAATGGATACGAATCCTAGAACGTAATTTTTAAATCATTTCACCCTAAGCGAAGGCAATAAAGTCACTAAGACACAAGAGTAGAAAGAATAAGTAAATGAAAAACATTATTAAGGAGCGAAAATAATAAAAGAAGAGGAATTAAGAAAGCTGAAGATAATAATTGACACTGCATTTCAGTTTTCGAAGATCAAACACTGGCTGAAAACTAAGAAGCCAGAAAAAATTCCACAAGTGAGAAGTGCGACAGAAGATACTGTTAGTATAGAACTTATGGTCAATCTAAACAATTTAATTGTAAAATGATGAGACCTACCTGCCAATCTAGTACTGCACTTAAATTCATAAAAGTCTAGATACCATAGAGGAAAGTTCATCATAACAATTACCATGAAAGGCTCACGGACGCTACATTATTTCACCTCAGGCAAGGCAACAAAGCCACTAAGACACAGTGTTATTGAGTGTGAAATAACATAAAAAAGAAAAACATTATTAAAGAGCAAAAACAATAAAAAAAAACATAAATTAAGAAGACAGAAGATGACAATTGACATTACCTTTAAATTTTTGAAGGTCAGAGTTGACTGGAAATCAAGAAGTAGGAAGAGAGTTCCATAAGCAAGAAGTGGAAGAAAAAAAACTGTTTACATTATTCAGACTATTGTTCTCATTTTTGTCGCCATATTTATTACAAAGTTTCGGCCGTTGTATGCTCTGGCCTTTTTCAGGTGGCTGGAATGTCGAAATGAACCCTTTATTTCGCTCACTGGAATAGACTGTTCTAGTTTCATGTGCCATGTTTAATGGATGTCAGTTATCAGTTATCTCCTGTTAATTTCCCTCTAAATATGGCGCCAAAGATGAGGACAATAGTCCGAATAATGTAAATAATGTACATAATACCTCATCTCAGAAATATAGACAGATACTGAAAAAACTGTTTGTATAGAACTTATTGTATTTACATTTAGCCATTTCAACTGTAAAATGATGAGACCTTGCCACCAATCTAGTACTGCAGTTAAGTCTTGGTACCATAGATGAAAGTTCATCAGAAAAATTACCATAAAAATATCTGTCAAAAAGGCACAGGGAAGCTACATTATGGCAGTGGGAAAGTGACTAAAGCTAAGATTGCCAAGTCAGGACCAATAACATTCCAGATTCCTTGGATTTTATCAGGGATTTCTAAATATATAACAGACCATGTGGCATCAATATCCAAAGTATGTACGAATGGTAGCCTTATAAATATTTAAGATAGATTTGGGCAAGAAAAATTGTCTAGCATGACACTGAGTGAACTTTCCTAGCAGAAGACCTAGCAATTGATTCAGTATAAATCTTTACACTTCATGTGAACAGAAAACATTAGCCCAAGAAGAAGAAGTGAATCACTCCCTTGGAGGTTAGCATCAACCATGCTGATGGAAGGCAGAAATGGTTCTCTCAGATTATTAATAGAGAGCAGTTTCATTTTGGAAGTTTTAAGATTAACAAACCATTCCTTGTCCCCATTAACAGAATGTAGGTCATTCTTGAGATCAGCTACCAATTTGACCTTATCAAACCAATCAGATTTGTTATTTGTCATTGAATATTATTAAGACAGGAGTAAATAGCTGCGTCATCAGCATACATACTGAGTTGAGAACTGATAACATGAGGATGGTTGTTGAGGAAAATTAGGAACAACGTAGATTCAAGGAGAGAGCCCTGTGGGGCATCTGCATTAATGCAAAAAGATCTAGAGTGGCTGTTCAAAACAACTTTGATTTTCCAATTCAATAAAAAAGACTGAATCAGTTCAAAAACTTGTCCAGGAATACTATAACCTTTTCAACTTGTGAACAAGAGAAGTATACCAAACCCTGTCAAAGCAACAGCTCAAGCTTCACCATTATCTTAATACATCAACAGTTGACCTAGAGAAGTGTAATCCATATTGCTTATCTGAAAGAAGACCATGTGAGGTGAGATGCTTAACCAATTCAAAGTTAGAGATTCTAGTTCTTTGCAAAAAAGAGGTAAAAAGCTAAGGATCAGATGGTTCACCTGAATTCTTAAAGACTGGAACTGTAAAAGAAGAGTTACAACAAGTGGGAAAGCAAGAAGCAGCAAAGCATTTATTGTACAGTTTAGAACAGGCACCAGTTTAGGAACATATTTCTTATAGACTATTGTAGGGATACAATCAAGTCCACATGCTTTGAGGAGATCCAGTTTAGAGATAATAGCAGAAACCATGAACAGTTATATGCATATCACTCAATAGAAATTCAGTTCTGTGCAGAACGTTGGGCAAACATACTCCAGATGAGGCAAGAGTAGAATTTGAAGAGAGTTTATGGTGGGCATGACATTAATTAAAAGTATGGATATTTGTACAATCAAAACAGGTAGGCACGTCTTTAAGAATGTAATTTGTGGAATACACCATCCAAGAACAATGAGGTTCTTTGATATTTTAATGATACTAATTGAGTCAGTGTTTACCAATACAAAACAATTAAATTTTGTTGTGGATGATTATTTTAAATATTAATCTAATGTGTTTTCTCTTTGTTCTTTAAGTACATTAATATCCACATTAGGGCTTTCATATTTACATTACAGGCAAAATGTTAACATAGATAGATAGATAGATAGATAGATAGATAGATAGATAGATAGATATGAACAGATATATATGATATGAACAGACTAAGATAGATAGATAGATAGATAGATAGATAGATATGAATGAATAGATATGAACAGATGAGATAGATAGATAGATAGATAGATAGATAGATATGATAGACTGAGATAGATAGATAGATAGATAGATAGATAGATAGATAAATAGATATGAAAAGATTAATATATATGATATGAATAGACTAAGATAGATAGATAGATAGATAGATAGATAGATAGATAGATAGATATGAACAGATTAATATAAATAGCTAGATATGAATCGACTAAAATAGATAGATAGATAGATAGATAGATAGATATAAACAGATTAATATAAATAGCTAGATATGAATAGACTAAGATAGATAGATATGAACAGATTAATATAAATAGCTAGATATAGATAGATAGATAGATAGATAGATAGATAGATAGATAGATAGATATGAACAGATTAATATAAATAGCTAGATATGAATCGACTAAGATAGATAGATAGATAGATAGACTAAGAAAGAGAAACAAAGAAAGAGATGAATATGAATAGACAGAGATAGAGATGAAGAGAGAGAAAGGGATAAATATAAATAGATAGAAATAGAGATCGCGAGTAGATGAATAGAACAAGAAAGATATGATCAGATGGAAATAGATAAATAACACATTAGATAAATAAAGAGATACATGCATAATATATCTTATCAACCCTTTGTGTGTTATTTAAAGCTGAAAGATATCTTGGATTCCAAAACTTTATTCAAAGCCAAGTAACTATTGCATTACCATTTTCTTTCAGAATAATAAGAATTTTCCCAGATACAATCCAATTATCTAACCTAGAGGTTTTCAACCTTGTCTTTACCCATGGACAACTTTTACTCTTAAATATTTTGTTGGACTCCCATAACCATTCAATGAAAATAAAAAGCTGATTTTATTTTTACTAATAGATAAGTTTAGGAATTGTATTATAGAAATAGTAAATGCATATACTTTATTTTGAAGTAACACTCATCTAATGAAAATAAACTTGTATTTAATAACTAAATTCTATAGAACATTTATATATACTAGTAAAATAACTTATAATAAACCATTGTAAAATATATGAGTAATTAATAAGTTAAAAAAAAAAGTGCAGATTTATTCAATGAGATTTCTGTGGTTGATTCTGCTCTCCAATTGTTTTTTTTTATAATCAGCTCCATCGATGTCAATGATAGTCAAAGATCACTCCTTTTCCAATATCAAGTCCATTACTATATTAACTAATTTATATTTTATTAATATTTAAAATTAATATTATTATTTATTATGAATATATTAAATTAATTTATTTAATAAATTATAAACATTATATAATTTTCCTTC